GGAAAAAACACCTTAGTCGGAATTGTTTCCTGGGTGAACAACCTTGTGGTGACGGATATTTCCCAGATGTATTTACCAGAGTTACCTCTTACTTAGATTGGATCGAAAAGCATATGTCGGAAAATTAAATTAAAAAAATGAAAACATTATTCATAAATACTAAGCAATGTTTTAATTGTAATATCGAATATTAAATAATTAAATAAATATATATTGGCAATCAGTTTTTGTCTATTAAAGTTAGACGACTAATATTTTTTTAAACTTCCCGAAGTTTATTCATGCAAAAAAATCTGTTTGTCTTATTTTATATTCTCTCGACGTTTAAAGTCATTCTGAATCGAATGAGACCAAATTTGGAAAAAGTTTGTGTGTGTTTCCTCGTAACTAATTATCGAAACTAGTGGTGTATGGCATCGTGCCTTAAGGCAAATTGCTAGAACTTCCCGTACCATATTGAAATATATGAATAATAAAATTTAGTAACAATTGGCATACCTCAGAAAAAATTGACGTATATGTGTATGTGTGAATAAAATTTTTCGTCCACATTTTCGGGCGCACGGATCAACCGATTCGAATGATTCAAAAAACATTCGATTCCTATTGATAGGGAGATGTGCTGATTAGTTTTTGGCAAAGGCAGGTCCAGCCGTTTCGGAGATACGGAGCAAAGAGTGCAAGAAATAGAAATCGAGTTTTTGAGAGAACGGAGCATCCGAATTGGATGATTCAAAAAACATTAAATTTGTAATGATGTGGGAAAGTGATGATTAGATTTTGGCAGATATAGGTCCAGCGGTTTCGGAGACACGGAGTTTAATGTGCAAAAATTGGCAGTTTTTGAGAGAACTAAGCATCCGATTTGAATGATTCAAACAATTTTTTGCTTGTCTTGATGAAACGATTGCTTAAAACATTTACAAAAAATTTTAAAAAAAAATCCAAAAAAATTAAGTTTGCCTCATAATTCATAGAAAATTCATAATTATATCATAGATTATCTCAATTGGAAATTGCAAACGGAAATTAATTTTTAGGCACTTGAGGTCGCTTTTACGTCACATAAAGTTGTTTTTCAGTAGTTTAAGTGGAAAAGTTTGAATTGAACTGGATTTTATTTGATAAGGTTATGAAAAAATAGTTAAGACTGATATAAAATCAATGAAAATTGGAAATTGCTTCATTTTAGTTTCTATTCTTAAATCAAATTAGTTTTTAGTGCTGTGATAAATAAAAGTTTAAAATGAAACTCATCATCGTGCTAGTATTTGTTTTAGGAATTTGTTCAGGTGAATTATTTACTTATAAAAGATATAAATGTATAAAATTTAACTAAATTGAAGTAAATTTATTTTTTTTGGATAATTTTCTGCTAACAGAATAAGATAATAAATTCTTGAATTTAGTTAAATTTCATACCTGTTTTACTAGTAACTCTTCCATTCTTATTACTTTATTGAACAAGTTTTTTGTTATTACATTTTTTTTATAGAAATTATGCTTTATTATATTTATATTTGTAAGAATTTGTTTTTAATTTATTTTATTGCTATTAAAAATTTATCAGTTCATGCGATAAGGTTATATAACAGATTATAACGGCTCATTATTTAAATAAAATAAATAATTTCATATAAGATAAATGTGAATATTTCACCTAAATTACAAACTTATGAAAAGAGTGAAATATAATTGATAGATATATAATTGAATTAAATAATTTTTTAAATTTATTTCCATACATATAATTTGTATTGTATTTATTTGTAATATATTTTTATATGTATTACTACTATTAGAGACATTACTACGTAATTTATTTTTTTTCGTCAACTAACCTGATTAACACATTTACTGCTATTCTAGTGTTTCTTTATTATAGGTGAGGGGATATATTTGTATCCCCATATGCTAATTTTTATTTTATTTTTATAAGGTTAATACTGAATGAAACCATTTCTAGAAACGTTAACTGGAAATTTTAAAAAAAGTTGTATAAAATAAGGATAAATAGAATTATTTCCGTTTGAAATAATTACGGTACAAAATTTAAATTTAATAATTTTATTTTACGAAAACCATTATTCTAAATAAATATTATTATTATAATTGCGTTCGACACCTTTCGTTTGACAACGGACTCACGCAACATATGCGTGCGCAGTAGTGAATAAGAAAAATAAAAATTGATAAAAATTATCAATCAAATTATTATTATCATTAAATATTATCAATTTTATATTACAACAGGATCACCACATTCAAGAATAATCTGTGGTCAAAATGCCAAAAAAAATTCGGCGCCATACATGGCATCGGTTCAACTTTTAGATAAAATTGATGGAGTCGAAAAATTGTTTCATTTTTGCGGAGGAGCAATAGTTAATGATAGATGGATTTTGACTGCTGCACATTGTTTGAGGTAATAAAAAGTTAACTAGTAGTGCCTTAAGGCAAATTGCTAGAACTTCCCGTACCAATAATTGATGATCATATTTTATAGGTATTTTAATAATAAGAATAAATTTTGTTTACATTTCTATGAGTTTCGTACTTCGTAATGTTCATCCTTCATCAAAAGGGCCAATTTTTTCAAAAATTTAAAAAATCGCAAAACTCGATTTTTTCAGAGTTCTAACAGAAAATTGATTTTTTTTTAAATTACCAAAATTAATTTTTGGTACGAGCAGTTTATTAGTTTTGTAAGGTATACGAAAATGCTCAGAAACCCCTGAAACTTTGCAGATGTATCCATGATGTATAAAAATTTGCATTTTTTGCGATTACTGTAGCTCAAAGGGAAGTTAAAAATCGGCTTATATACAAATACATGCACACGCACATACGTTTTCTAAGATAGGTCTCATTCAATTCAGAATGACTTGGAACGTCGAGAAACATAATATTAGCAAATCGGCTATAAAATCAAAAATCAGCAATTTTTTGTGATTATTTATGGTAAGGCGTAGATTACACCTTACTGCTGCCTTTGGCGTTATTACTTTTTAGAAAATTAATTACTGCACTTTTTAGTGCACACTGTAATCATTAGAAGAATGAAAAAACGGCAATAGACATAAAACTATAAATATTTATTTTAAATGGTTGAGTAAAATGTACGAGTTAAATTTCTTAAGATGTAGACTCTCGCAACTAGCAGTGAATATTAAATTTATAAACTTAAAAATATTATATAAAAATTATTAAAACTGCCTGGAAGGGGGAGTTCACAAATATACACTTATACAACTAATTAGAAAAAATATAATTAGAATAATTTACAATAATCCGTTTGTATTTTTGTTACGTAGTTATAGGATTTATTAAAACTCTCCTTCGATAATTCAGGTTGTTGGGTTATAATTTAACCCTTGTAGCTGTGGACTGTATTAAACACTGATTTGTTTGTATATTATGCATTTGTTGCAGTTCTAATTACAATCACTGATTTGTTACTAAGTTATAATGAAGAAGATATATTTATTTTTATTGGTTATTTACATGTTGTTAAGCGGACTTTACTTTTAGAAGTGAACAACTAGTTCAATTAAAACACTCCGCTACCCTCTCTACCAGGGGTAGCAACCATTCCGTGTAAAGCCTAATGCCATGAAGGTTGTCATCTTCATGGCCAATATAATAAAACGAAAAGACGTCCGAATACCGTTTAATACGGATGGTAGCAATAAACCTTGCCCATTTCTTTGAAAAGGTGAATGGATTTATAACCAAGATAAAATTTGATGCAATAATCAGTATACTTTTGTATTGAAAGGAGTTTATAATAATAATAGAATTGAAAGATTTGATTTACTTAGGCTATTTTAGAAAGAATACTTAATATATGCACTAATATTCGGTGCCTACATAAATGTAATTATATAAGTATTAAAAACGAATTCTTAACAAAAATGATAATGATTATATTTCAAATGAATCCCTAACAACTTACTTGAATTAATTTATACAATTTTATTCAATTTAGAGGCAAAGACCACCTCCTGGACAAACTGTTCATTGCAGTCGGCCTGACAAATTTAGGTGAAGGAGGCACCGTGTATCCTGTAGAAAAAGGCATCATGCACGAAGAATATGAACATTATGACATAGTCAACGATATTGCACTAATCAAAGTCAAATCTCCGATAGAATTCAATGAAAAAGTAACGACTGTAAAATTAGGTGAGGATTATGTTGGCGGAGACGTCCAACTTCGATTGACAGGATGGGGAGTTACGACAAATGAGGGAATCGGAAGCCCGAGTCAAAAATTACAGGTAGGGGAAAATTTAATTTCATTAGTTGTAAGTGGCATTTTGACTTAGGTCAAGGCGAATAATAATAATCAAATTAATCAATAAGAATTGATATTCAGATATTCAAGTAAAATGTTGCACTGTTATTTCTAAAATTCAATTTTTGTCAAAAATCAATCAGAAGGATTTACAACTAATATCATTTTAATATACTTATAATATCTGTAATTACATAAATTAAATTAATTTGTTCAACACATTATAACTAGTGTAATTGCTAGTTACCTACAAAACACAGAACGTACATATGATTCGGCATAGATTCTAACTAGAATTGTTTAAGCAAAGCGGCCAAATCGGTTTAAAATTAAATCTAGCGGCGCATGGTATTGTGTCTTAAAGCAAATTGCTTGAACTTTCACTACCGTAATAAAACTTTCAAAGAATAAAAATATCGTCGACAAACACATCTATGAATAAATATTATAAAAACTAGAATTTTCATTATTTATTCCTTGTAGACAAAATGTGAAAGCTTATTAGATTAGACGACGTTGTTTATCTATATTTGAATGAAATATATATAAACAAAATCTAATTAAGTAGATTTATTGTTAGAATGAACATATTTTATTTCAAATGCATCAATTTTTCGTTCGCAAAATATATGCTCTGAGCTAACAATTTGAAATAGTTCATGTAGTATCAACTACACAATCATAAAAAGTATCAAAAATAATTTTTTAAAAAAAATTACAAACGTGGGGGATTCGAATCTCGTAATCTTATCTTCTACTAAGGCGAACGAAAACTGCACTGACGCGCCAACCAACACAGCTATAACGACATGCTCAAGTGCAACACTTTGAGCGGATGTCTATCGGATCTAATCGGAATTTCTGCACTTTTTGCTCTGTATCCTTGAAACGGCTAGACCTGCCTTTGCCAAAAAATTAATCAGCACGTCTCCTTATCAATACGAATAGAATGTTTTTTTAATTATTCAAATCGGTTGATCGGTGTTCCCGAAATCATCGACAAAAATTTGTATCCGCACACACACATACATCTATTTTTTCGAGGAATGTCAACATGTTCAGAAACCTTTGAAACGTAAAGATATGCAAAAAATTTTATTTTCGATTTTTTTCGACTATAACTTACCATACGGGTTAGAAATATAGATATCAATAAATTACCATTCTGTTTCCAATATGGTCAAATAAAACAGAAAAAAACATTAAATGCGCTATACAATGTACACCAATATCACTAATTTTTACCTAATTATGTTTTAAGAAAACTAATAAAAGTAGTCATTCGTCAAGTAGTTTTGAATAAAATAGTTGTCCATCCATAATCATAAATATTTGATTATATTTCTAGTGAATTGAATACTGAAATTCTATATTATTCTACGTTTTCAATTTTTATTCAGGTCATGACAGCCAAATCACTAACTTATGAGGATTGCAAAAACGCAATTTATAAAAAGACTTTCGAAAGCCAAATTTGTGCACAGGCTAAAAAAGGAACCGGATCTTGTAAGGTGAGTTTAAAAAAAAATCTTCTCTCTTTAATTAATTTATTATGTTTGAAACTATTGCATTTTTGCATTGTAAACTATTGCATTTTTGCATGCAATTTTTAAATAATAAAGTTCTTCTGGAAACGTATTCTGAAATTTTGAATGAGAAAATTTACATAATTTTACCTATGAATCAAAATGAACTTCCCCTACAAAATATTAAAATTTTATAAGAATGATCCAATTTTTTTTTAAATTTAAAAAAAAATAGATTTTTGAGATTTTTAAATTTTTTGAAAAATATTGACCTTTTTGAAAAATTAGATTTTTTATACTTTGATACGGAACCCATAGAAATACAATCAAAATTTGTTCTTATTAATAAAATTCTTATTCTTATTAATAAAATATATCTATATATAATATGTGAAAATTTGATGTGCGTATGTCTAATGAATTACTTTTTCTATTGGATCTCCGAAACTGTTAAACTTGCCTCCAAATTTCATCAGTTCTTCATTTCGTCAATACAAATAAAATGTTTTTTGAATCTTTCAAATTGTTTGATTCGTTTTCTCGAAATCGTCGACGAAAAAATGTATCCGCACATACATACACTCACATACGCATACGTATACGCATATACACACATCCTTTTTATCTATGCTTGCCAAAATGTTCAGAAACTTTAAAACGTAAAGAAAAATAAAAATTATCAGTTTCGATTTTTCGTTAAAAATGTATTAGTAATGTTAAAAATGAATTAGTAATGAAGAAAAAGCCAAAAAATATGCTAATGGCGTCAACACTTAACGTTTTATCTAAAATATTTATTTTTTGTTTTCAAATCATTCTTTTTGTTGTTGAATTATGAAAATTAAATATTTTCATAATATCACATAAGACAATAAACTTAGAATTTTAGTCTTTTTACGCATGAGTAAATAACTATTACTCGAGGTTATTCACAATTACAATTTTTAGTCAATCTACAATTGGATTTTTAGTGAGTGTTAAAAATTGTGAATTTATTTTTTATTTTCACTTAATTATAAAAGTGTAAAATTTTTCAGGGTGATTCTGGTGGTCCATTAGTCCGAGGAAACAATACCCTGGTCGGTTTAGTATCCTGGGGTATGCAACCTTGTGGAAGTGGCTATTTTCCTGATGTCTACACAAGAATAACATCGTTTTTGGATTGGATTAACACGACAATGTCAGAAAATTAAATAGAAAAAAGTATTAAAATAGTAGTTAGAATATTTTGCGAATACTATAAAAGTATTGAAATAACGAATATTTGTATTGTATATAGGGCTGGTACCTAAAGACATTATTATTTGTTAAAACTGATATTTATTTTTATGACAAATTTCTATATTTATAATATTATTTTATATATATTTAATTGTATTTTAAATATGGACTGGTTCATCCAATGTTATAAATTAAAATTATAAAAATACATCTACTATTTTATACTAATTGAACAATGTTTGTTTTATCACTAATTAAAGTTAAAAATTAAGTTAAGGATATCTAAAGAGCTATTTTTAATTTCCCGTAGGGTAAGTTATTGTAATCGTCCAAAAATCGCAATTGAAAATTTTTGCATATCTTCACGTTTCAGAGTTTCTGAACATTTTGGCATACCTCAGAAAAAATGGATGTGTGTGTATGTATGTATGGATACAATTTTTCATCTACGTTTTTGGGCGCACGGTTTAACCGATTTGAATGGTTCAAAAAAACAATCGATTTCTATTGATAGGAAGATGTGCTGATTAGTTTTTGGCAAAGGTAGGTCTAGCCGTTTCGGAGATACGGAGCAAAGAGTGCAGAAAATAGAAATCGAGTTTTTGAGAGAACAAAGTATCCGTTTTGAATGATCCAAAAAACAATTGGATTCGTAATGATGAGGAAAAGTGGTGAATAGATTTTGACAATGGCAGATCCAGCCGTTTCGGAGATACGGAGCAAAGAGTGCAGAAAATAGAAATCGAGTTTTTGAAAGAACAAAGAATCCTATTTGAATGATCAGAAAAACATTCAATTCGTAATGATGGGGAGAAGTGGTGATTATTTTTTGGTAAAAGCAGGTCCAGCCGTTTTGGAGTAACGGAGCAAAATGTGCAAAAAATGGCAGTTTTTTTAATGAATAAGCATCCGATCTGAATGAATCAAAACCTTTCTGCTTATGTTGAAGAAACGATTGTTTTTGGAAAAAGAAAAAAAATTTATTTCATTTTTTTTTAATTTCCAAAAAAACTTTTTTTTGAATATCTAAAATTATTCAGATTTTCAAAGTTTTAATTCGGTGCGCAAAAGTTCCAGCAATTTGCTTCAAGGCGCGATATACATCACCATCAGTTTATTATTTTATTTTATTCAATGTTTTGGCTTTTTCATTAAACATTTAGTTTAAATTTATGTGTTTTTTTCATATAAGGTTGTCAAATATCTCCCTTCCGCCTTTTTGTATTATAAACCAAGAGCATAAAAGCGGAAGGGAGATATTTGACAACCTAATATTTTAAACTTTACCGTTACTACTGAATAATGACACACATACGGTGTCGAAACGTACATAATAATTAAATTATTTATTGCTATTTGGCCTGGAATAAAAATTTTATGAATATATTATATAGCTATAGATGTGCCTGTGTGTGGTAAAATTAATAACACAGTATTATTCCTTTCAATAATTTATTTCAAATATAAATTAGCAACAATTTTATCATTCATCATCGGCGATCTTCTCCTTGATCCATTCGGCATAGTGTGAGACTCTAGTGAAGACGTCAGGTTTGCCGAGGGCGCAGGGGATTCCCCAAGAGACAACCCCGTGAAGTTCTCCATTTACGACCAATGGACCACCGGAGTCACCCTGGTAATATTAGGTTTCTTCGTGGTTATATCAATCGAATAGAGTATAATTCTTTTAAATTTTTAGGTCACTTATTTATCACTGGTAAAAATGAGCTGGGAAACCCTGGTGATGCTCAGGTATGAACGACCCTTATTGCCTCTATTTAATAATTAACTTCACGTAGGGTAAGTTAAAGTAATCGCAAAAAAGTTGAGAATGAACATTTTTGCATATCTTTACGTTTCAGAGGTTTCTGAACATTTTGGCATACTTTAGAAAAAATTAAATTTTTCAAAAAAGTCACTATTTTCAACAATTTCAAAAATCTCAAAACTCTAATTTTTTTAAAAAATTTCAAAATCCTCATTTTTTTCAAAATTTCAAAGAATTTTTAAAAATTTTAATGTTCGGTGCAGAAAGTAATCGCAAAAAAATCGAAAATAAATTTTTTTGCATATCTTTACGTTTCAGAAGTTTCTGAACATTTTGACATACCTTAGAAAAAATAGATGTTCAAAATTTTCAGAAAAATTTAAAGTATAAAAAATTTTTTTTTTCAAAAGCCTTTTTTTACAAATATTTCAAAATTCTCAAAAATCTAATTTTTCTCAAAAATTTCAAAATTCTCATTTTTTTTCAAACTTTCCAAAAAATTTCAAAGGAATTTTAATTTTAATTTTCGGCACGGAAAGTAATCACAAAAAAATCGAAAATGAAAATTTTTGCATATCTTTACGTTTCAGAGGTTTCTGAACATTTTGGCATAACTTAGAAAAAATTGATGTTCAAAATTTTCAGGAAAATTTAGAGTATAAAAAAATTTCGAAACAAAAAAAAAATTCAAAAAGTCATTTTTTTCAAAAATTTCAAAATTCTCAAAAATCTCATTTTTCTGAAAAATTTCAAAATCCTCTGAAATCTAATTTTTTTTCAAAGTCTTCAATAAAATTTTGAAGATTTTTTAAAAAAATTAATTTTCGGCGCGGAAAGTAATTCGAAATATAAAAAAAAGATATTTCAAAAATGTCGATTTTTATTCAAAAAATTCAAAATTCTCAAAAATCTCATCTTTTTAAAAAAAATTCAAAGCATTTTTGAAAATTAAACTTTCGGCGCGGAAAGTAATTGCAAAAAAATCAAAATAGAAAATTTTTGCACATCTTTACGTTTCAGAAGTTAATGAAAATTTTGGCATACCTTAAAAATTTAAAGTATAAAAAAAAATTAAAATATAAAAAAAAATTAAATTTTTCAAAAGTCATTTTTTTTCAAAAATTGTCAAAAATCTCTTTTTTTTAAGTTTTCACAAAAATTTGGAAGGTTTTTTTAAAAATCTTAATTTTCGGTAGGGAAAGTTCCTGCGATTTGCCTTAAGGCACGATGCCATGCACCACTATTTTGTTTTTGGTTTTGAAATTATAGAAACAGTCCCATAACATTAATGTTCGTATTATAAGTAGATTTTCATATCATCAGCCATATATATATCGGAAAACTTATATTGGAACCGTACCATTTTTTTTTATTTACCGAAGTTGTACTTTATTATATTTACTTACTTAGTAAATGAGTTTCCAAGAATGATAACTTACCATGATAGTTTTCACATAATTCTAATTATCATACCAAATTCACATAGTCTAATTACCGTAGCATTTTATAATTTATAACAAACCTTAAAAAATCAGTTTTCAGTTTATTTATCACTTACCATGCAAGCTCCTTTTCCTTTTTCTACAAATGCACATATCTGACTTGGGTAAACCACATGCTGGTGAGCCTTCTTGCAAATTTTGTGGCTGATGGTAAAAGTATTCAATTCCTGCAACAAACAAATAATAAGAAAAAAAATATTTGTATTGCATTTATATTTGTATTACTATTTTTATTACCTGCAATTCGTTTGGTGCAGGGTCATCAGCTCCTAATCTGCCCCATCCTGTAAGACGAGCTTCTTCACCTCCTTCGACATATTCTTCGCCCAAAGGAATTGGTTGTACCCTGTAGTTGAACTTAATTGGCTTCTTAACTTTTACAAGTGCCAAATCATAATTATTTGTTTCGGAATCGAATGGCAATGTGACTATTTCGGCTACTTGGTATCTATAGCCTTCCTGGTCTAATCTGTTAATACCGACTACTACCTCAAAACGTCTCCTAGAATAGAAATATAAGATATTTGTGTTAATTTGTAAATTTTTGAATATTTCTTTAATTCATATTTACCCCATGCAATGTGCAGCTGTAATGATCCAGTATTTGTTCAAAATAGAACCTCCACAAAAGTGGAAGTTTTTAAATTGTAGTGAAACCTGATAAGGAGCAGAGGCATCATCAGCGTTCTCGCCTCCAACGATCCTTCCAGCCGGATTGGCTAAAAAATACCATCATTTGTCAATTATCTAGAAACTAGAAACATATGTTTTTATATTTTTACCTGAGACAAAGCAGATGGTTGCCAGTAAAACAATGAACGTCTTCATCGCGTTTATTGCTAAGAAATGACCCTGCACCTTGATCCATCCCAATTTATACGCAATCGATGACGAATGATAAATATGAGCACTACTTGAGACTACTTGAGACATATTTCCAATTCTGATAAGAATCGAAGTTTTGCGCAAAATTTCACTTTTGTCATAAGTTTAAAATCCACGGGAAATCAGAAACAGAATATTGTTTGAAGATGATATCGATTGACCCGCGCGGGGTCAATTCAACTATTAAAATTATAAAAACCGTCGAAAAAAAAATTCAACAGTTAATTACAAGAAATTGTGCTAGCGAATTTTTATCAAAAACTAATCAGGTCGATTACCAACCAATATTTTTCAAACAATTTAGACGAACATTTTTCAATTTTCTGCTATTTACAAAAAAACGGCTTGGCCGATCGTCGCGCTAACCCAACAAACGCAAGTTCTCATCGAGATACATCAAATGGCTTTTAAATTTTTGAAATCTGTCCAGCCGTTTTTGAGAAAACGTCAACACAGACACACACACATACTTTTCCAAATTTGGTCTCATTCGATTCAGAATGGGTTGAAACGTTGAGAAAATATAAAATTATAATTATAAATAGCGAATCGGATTTTTTTATGAAAACAAACTTCTTCGAGAAGTTAATAATGCACTTGTATTGTATTAAACAGTTTCAAACAGTTCTTAAAAAAAATCTATGAAGATTTTACTTAATAATAATCAAAGATTTGATTCAATGGTAATTTTTAGGTTGATATTTTAAAACTCAGTAAAATTTGTTTTTAAAAAAACGCGAATAGTCCATGAAGGAATACCTTTCCATAGTATTACAACCACTAGCCTTATAAAGCATATTTTAGTTGCCACAAACTGTGCAAATTTAAGATATGTATTAAATACATATTATATTATATATTGCATTTTACAAATATTCACTTAACAAAATTAGTTATTTTATAACATATTTCATTACCTCAATAGAAATATTTCTTAATAAAATAACTTATTACAGTGAGTATCTAACAAAAATGAGTAAAAATTTATACATAATATTATATGGCACATTTGATTTTTTAATTATATCAAAAATTTTAGTATTGTACTGGCAATTAGAATTGTATGTACAATTCTAATTGCCAGAACTTATTAGCACCCTTATTATATTATTAATAACGACATTATCATATTAATTTAAATACTATCAATTAAAAGTTGAATCTCAATAATGCACTTATATGGTATTAAAGTTGTATAAAAATTTCTGTTGTAAGCATTTTCAACAGTTCATATAAGAACCTATGAAGATCATTTATAAAAATACTTGACTTGAAAATACAACTAAAATAAAATTAGTCTTTAAATATTTACACTCTCTGTCATGAAGTTATTTTTGATAAAATGGTAGTGACTTGAGTTCGGCAATTGTTTCCTCTGCAGTCTGTAAATAGATTATTAGATTATTCAAATGGAATATGAAGAACAAACTAATTTTATTTTTGGGATTCAGAAAACGAATTACATGGTCCGATCAATAATAGTTCTTTCTGTTATTGTACTTAAATGTTATTTAGAAAAAGCATAGAAAATGACTAAAGGGCATTTGTAAAAACAATGTGTACATACTTGATAAAGTATCTTTTGCATACTAAGCTTTTTTATATTGAGAAAGCAAAAAATTTAAGTACCATTGATAAGTCTACATCATCTTCTTCAAGAAGATCTTCTAACTTATTTCTTATTTCAGCACACCAGTAATTCTGCAAAGTAGAACAGCTGAAGCGTCCTAGTAAACGAACTAGATTACAAGTTCTCAGTCTTAAATAGAAACAATTCAGGTGAAATTATATCAAATATTGAACACATTATTATTAGAAATTACAATTAATAAATAAACTTCATATGTATTTACACATTTTCTACTTTCCTAACAGTAGCAATAATAAAATCTCCAATATATTTTTTTTTACTCCAAATAATTAAAATAAATTAAATTATATAAGTTATGATACCTTAATAAATTATCTTGATACAATAATAATTCCATAATTCTCGCCAGTCCATTGTCTAAAACAATATCTTCAATTAGTTGAGCATTTTCTGGAAGACAACACATCACACTGCACAAAATTGCAATGATATCACTTGCAAGTTTTACACCTTTTGCATCTATAAGTAAAAATATATATTCATATATATGCAACAAAAATTTAATTATCATTTTTATCATATTACCAGGTATCATTAGTTCCTGTATAAGATTTTTAGCCGATAAAACAACTACAGCATCACAAAACTGTGAAGCAAATTGTTCGGCTGAATGTAAAAGATGACATACTAATAAATACATATTCTCAAAAGCTAAAAGATCAGAATCAGTGAACTGGTCTCGCCTGCAATTAAAAAATATGGTAAATAAATCTAATTGACAAAACAACAATAATTAATAAAAATAGTGGATGAGGCTAATTAAATTATATATAGTTTCAAATTTATGTAGAATAGATTATTAATTGCTATTAACTTACTTTAAAGTTTCCTTCCGTTTGCATATAAGCACCGAAGCATAAACTAAGTTTGCAACAAGTTTAACATCATAATAAACCTGTAATAAGTGAAAGAATATTATAAATAAATAAACCGTAAAAATAATACACAACAAGAATGTGTATAACTTACTTTCAGTACTGGTTCGATATCACCAGTATTTCTAGAAACAACTAATGGAATTGCTAATAATTGCGCTACACTTTTTGCTACTTCACTGCTTACACAATTATGTCTTAGAGGTGATATAATAATACTGAGCTGAAAAAACACCAGATTTAACAAATATATATATATATATATATATATATATATATATATATATACCAAACCAGGAAAAACACAAAAAAAAATATATAAAATTTATTAAACACTAAACTTATGCAGAAGAATATCATAACTAATAATAATTAATAAAAGAGAAATTAAAGGAGCACATATTGCCCTCCAATATTGTATGTATTCAATCGCAGTGCATTATGAAAACTGATCAAGGTTACGCAGCACGTGTGGTGGAGTGAGTTGACGCGGGGTGTAAGAAACAAATGAGGAATGAGAAACAGAGAAGGGATATAACGAACAAAAGATTCTAATACTATATAGAATTACTTTTCATGAAATTTATAATGACTTTGTAACTGTAGAGGAATTCCGTTTGTTGGCACAAGAAATATTAGGTTGTCAAATATCTCCCTTCCGCTTTTTTGCTATTGGTTTATAATACAAAAAGGCGGAAGGGAGATATTTGACAACCTAATATTAAGAGATATAAGTAACGACTTAACTATCTTCCTAAGGTCACAATTCTTTTCAATATATAGGATGGTAAGATTTGACATGTTGAAAGTATAGTTCAAGTTAATCATATGTTCTGATAACATAGTTTTGTATTGATTTGGGTTTCTAGAATTATATATATGTTGGCAAACCCTCTTGGGTATATATTGGGAATTTTTCCAATATTGCAATCATTACAGTCCAACCAATAAACCGAATTAGTAACCCTATCAGTGGGAGTTTTTGACTTAAGAGCATAAAAAAGGCAACTGCATGTGTTGTTGAAAATGAAAACTAAAAGAAAATCTTAGGCGGCAAATTACTTTTTTTAAAGAATAAGAAAAATTGCTTAAGAAAGGTAAACAAATAACATCTTCATATTTATCTAAAGAGGAATAATTTGATTTTGAACAAGAATTGTTAGGGTATGAAGAACTGTTTAAATTGTTATGTAAAAACTCTAATCTTTTTTTAACGATGTTATTAACTGAATATGACGGATAAAAATATTACGTGTTCTAAAAATATACATATGTTTGGCATAGATTTTGAAGAAAATATGAATATTATTGAATTCATGAAAAATACTCACCAAATTTTGTTGTTTTAGTGAATCTAAATCACCATCTAATACTTCTCTCATAGTTTTATGAATAAATGCAAGCCACTCTTCGTTTTCAATAGGCTGATCAATTCCTAAGCCGCTACTATCTAATGGTTCGTTACTTAAATCTATTTGAGACTTAGCTTCCTCCTCACATGTACCTTGATTAGAATCTTCCTTCTCATCTTGACCAGTGTTGCTCATGGTTTTTGGTTTATTTTCAATATTAATATTCTTAGAATCCTTTCTAATTTTACTTTTAGCGCCAGTAGATTTTTCAGACGTTCTACTTTTATTTGCACTGTTCGTAGTTGAAATGTTTTTGCTTCTTCAGTTTTGACCAAATTACAACTGTTTATTGATTTGCTTAACGTTTTGGTATCTTTGTTAACTGATTCTGTGTGTCCAAGCTTTAATGAAAAATTATCTAAATTTTGACTAAGCTTTCGCTTTTCTAAGAAACTTTTTTTTGTTTTATTATCGGATTGTCTGGTGATTTTCGCAATATCTATATTACTATGTGAGTATTTCGGTATATTAGTTTTAGTTAATGATAAAGTGTTATTTGTTTGAACTTTCAATATATTGTTTAGTTCTTCTATGTTGCTATTCATGTTATTTATAACTAAATTATTTGATTTCAATTTGGATTCATAATGAGCTTGTATTGGCTGAGGAAGATTCTGAACCATTCTTACAGGTTTGCGTAGTTCAGGATCTGTTTCAAATTCACTTATATTTCCTTCGACATCTGTATTACCTTAAAAAGAAAATTAACAGCATTACAATATAATATTGATACACCATGGTAAAACTATAGATTTTTATATTCTATTTAACTCAGAATAACAAATGAATTGATAATATATTTAATATATTTTATTAATCTACCTAAATCAGTCTTTAAAGTATCTCGCAAGCTAAGCTCATCAAATGCATTTTTAACACTATCAGAGCTACATGTTGTTTCATTTTCTAAAACCGTTGGTGTATCATTGCATTTGTCTTCAGTTACAACTTTGGTCTCATTATATTCTTGAACTGGTATTGCACAAGATCTGAAATAGGTATAAATTGTTTGTACATTTATAATCTATAATATTGTTTGTAGATTTTATTATTATTTTTACGTACTTATTTTCTATAGCTTTCATATGTTGCAATTCTTTAGCTTCTGCTTGGGATTTTGTTAATGGATGTGTGAATGGTGATACAGATGTTTCATCTAAAATTATTATATGCCCTTGTACAAATTCATGAATTAATATATTCTGCCAAGATAATCTATCCAAAGGATTCTTTTGCAGCAGACCCTGAAAGGAAATTATTTAGATATTAATTATTAACTAATATAACTGTAATACTAGATAAATTTACCTGTAAGAACGAGATGCATTCCTGTGATATAAAACTTGGCCATCTGACGCGTTCATGTTTAATTAACTGAATTAAATGTAAGATTGATGTTGTAGAAAACGGAGGCTCTCCAACTAAAGTTTCATATATTATGCAACCTAAAGACCATAAATCTGCCTGAAATATTTAATTTATTAACTTTACTTCCCGTAGGTCAAGTTATAGTAATCGCAAAAAAATCGAAAATGAAAATTTTTATATATCTTTACGTTTCATACCTTAGAAAAAATGGATGTATGTGTGTGTGTGTATGTGTGTGTGTCTGTATGTGTGTGTGTATGTATGTGCGGATACAAATTTTCGTCGACGATTTCGGGAACACGGATGAAGCGATTTGAATAATTCAGAAAACATTCGATTCGTATTGATAAGGAGACGTGCTGATTAGTTTTTGGCAAAGGTAGGTCTAGCCGTTCCGAAGTAACGGGGCAAAAAGTGCCGAAAACGGTAACTCAGTTTTTAAGAGAACGGAGCGTCCGATTTGAATAATTCAAAAAACATTTTATTTGTATTGACTAAATGAAGAACTGTTCAAAATTTTGGAAAGGCAGGTCCAACGACTTTGGAGATATGGAGGAAAAAGTAAAAAAATGAGCCATTTGGCGGTCAAAAATGATCATTAGACATATGCACATCAAATTATCAGATATTTTATAGAGATTTTAACAATAAGTATAAATTTTGTTTACATTCCCATGGGTTCCGTACCAATGTTTACGCGTTAGACGTCGATGCGGCGCTTACGCGCTTTGATATTTCGTCTTTATGCAGTGAAAGCAGTACGGTTGTTTTAAATAAACCTTCAGAATTTCCAAAATATGTCAAAATGTAGAAAACATTTTTCTTTTCAAAAAAAATTTGTTTTCAAAAAAAAAAATTTTTTTTAAAAGTAATTTTTTGTCAAATTTATAGTTTCTCAAAAATCTAATTTTTTCGAAGTAAAATTTTTTCAAAAATGTTAATTGTTTTTTAAAAAATAATAATTTTTGTGCGGAAAGTTCCAGCAATTTGTCTTAAGGCACGATGCCTTAATTGCCTTAAGACAGAATTCCACTTACAGCTAGTTTACATCAATGATCAACAAGGATAACTTTGATATTGTTTTCTTACCTGATGATCATATGGCTGTTCAGACATTAACTCAGGTGCCATATATAACGGAGTCCCTTTGATAGATGTCAGAACATGAGTACCAGTAGTCATGGTGCGAGCAAGACCAAAGTCACATAACTTAAATTTTCCATCCACGTCTTGCAAGATATTTTGTGGCTTCAAATCTCTAAAAATATATATCAACTACTAAATACTAAGTGCTTGAATTAAGATTTAACTTTCATTTTACCTGTGCAATATTCTATGCGAATGTAAATAGTATAGTGCAGATACCAAATCCCATGTCAGCACACGAGATTTTTCTTCCCCTAAGCTCCCATCTTTTGCCAATATAGTATGTAAATCCTTATGAGCAAATTCAGTAACGACCACCATTTGAGATGGAGTATCAAAAGAATCTAGCATTCGAATTATATTGGGATGATTCAAGTGCTGCTGTATTTCGCATTCTCTATGGAAATTCACAAGCTCTTTAGCTGATCGACCATGCTGAAATAAATGAGATTGAGAAGTTTAGAATCATTTCTGAAGTTTATATCGTAAAGTATATTTAAACTGTATTTGTTTAGATGATTTACCAACCTTTCGAATAATTTTCAGAGCAACAGTTTCCCCACTAGATTTATTATTAGCTTTATATACTCTTCCAAAAGAGCCTTCACCGACTAGACATACAATTTCAAACTGTTCCATTTCATACTATATATAATTGTTTTTAATTTTATTTATTTTACTGTATATAAAATTGCAATATATTCTAAATGTACATGATTTTTAACGATATTATGCGGAGACACGTAAAAAATGTATTACAACATTTTCGAACATTTATTGTTTAATTTACCATGTAAATTATAAAAACATCGTATAAAATAATAGTTAATTGAAATGTTTGTATTGCTGTTGTGCATATTTTCTGTTGACATTGCTCATTCATAATTATTTAAAGGTTATGTAGTATGTGGTTAATAAAAACGTTTTTTTTTTTTAAATGTAATATATTATGATTGTATATTCATAATAATATAATAAATAATATATATATTATTGTCCATACAAACACAAGTGCATTAAAATTATTGCAATTAAGCTTCATTTAAATGGAAATAGAAAATCAACATGAACTTCTTAGTAATAACTTAAAATAGAATACAAATTTTAATAGTAGAAAATGTGTGCTTTACATCTATTAAAATATATTATTTAGTATTTTTTGTCATTAGTATTATTACAAAATGTATAACCCTTTAATGTGATTTTAAATTGAAATAAACGATTATTTAAATTCAAATTTTGCGCTAATGATTTGTGGACGTAACTTTCCCTAGCCTCTTGTTGCTATGGCAACCCACTCTCTTCTTTATCTATGATGGCAACATTGCGCAATTTAAATTTTATTAATAGTTTATTTGAATTTAAATCTTGCATTGAAATATTATTTTATTTTGTAGTATAACAATGATACCAAGAATATAATCGGATCAAGATAACAAAGCAAAAGATAACAAACAGCACATCCGGTTTAAATACAATAATATAATTCTATCTTATATTATACATCGTCCAGAAACTTGACTTTATATTTAGACATTAATATAATTTTCGATGTATTGCAACTTGTGTTAATAATACATATTGCTGTTGTAAATATTATTCTGCTTATACACAGAAAAAGGTACAATTTCATATCGTTTTCGTCTGATTTTTGTATCCGGTTCCCTCAAAATAATTTCACTTTTCATTGGCTTCTCCTTATAGTATGAAAAATCTTTTAAGTAATCGTTATAAATAGAGTACTCAATAATATTTTTACTCAATGAAGATATATGATCAGCATGTTGAGTATTTTTGTTGATGAAAGCTTTTGTCTCATGCGGTTGATCTGAATTAGCAAACCCTTTTTTATTTTTGATATTTCTTAACATTTGGAACAAGCTAACCACACATGCCCATTGGTAATAAAGGAACACTGAAAATAATATAGAATATATAATAAATATATACACACTCAATGAAATGTACTATGAACAATATATGAACTTACAGAAGACAAATCCTCCCGTAATGCTTGACATAAACAGTACATCAAGTCCCACAAAATTTTTGATAATTTTCATAATAATTACAATATAATTAATAAACATGATAATCTTATAAATTCTATTACAATGAATATCATCAAGCATATCATTGAGAGCTAAAAATATTGAAATGATACATATATTCATTTTATGTATGTAAATTTGATATAAATTGTTCAATTATGTAATATTTTAATCAACTTACATACACAGTTCCAAAAAATGAGAACTGCACAAGAAGCAAGACTAAAACTTGCAACACTATATACAGTATTGATAATCCAGATTCTTCATCTTTAATTAAATAATTTTAACTATTATAATTAAATAATATGTATATGTATATTTCTTCTAAACTCACCATCATTTAAGAAAATTATAAATGAGCGCAAAATCAAAAAATCGTAGTCCAAAAGACTTTCTTATACACAGGTACCATTGTGGCAAATAAAATATAGCAGCAACGACATTTGAATCTGAAAAATAAAAAATAATCAAATTAAACTACTCGCTAAGAGACTGAAATATATAATATACAATTCATAACATAACTTTTTGGAGAGTTTGGAAATATATAATTTAAATTGAAAATCCACCTAATACACTTAGTTTTTACAGACTTTTCTAAGAGAACTTACGATTGCTGAAAGTGCTGTTATAAGACACCCTAAACGTACTGTGAACCAAGAACAAAAACATATACATACACACCATTATAGCTTATTTATTTAATAAAAAGCTATAGAAATTATAGAAAAAGTTACTGAATTGTTGCACATTTTGTGGCAATATTATATTTATTGATTTACTTATTACAAGTATACATTACCTCAGATTTTATCTGCTAATTGCAGATGATATCTATTATTGATTATTTTTGTAACATATGAATGCTATTAAGTCAGGTAATTTCCTCCTGATAGTCATAATGATAATAACCATAAATATTTATTATTTCATTTATTTAAACTTTCTCACATATAAAAAAATTATCTAAGTTATATTTAAGTCATTTTCACACGTGTCTGATTAACAAAGTCTTTTCTGCTGTGTGAATCTTTGGGCACAATATAAAAGCTTAAAGCGCCATCATATACAATAAAATTCTTTTGAGTAGTAATTTGTTCAAGAGTTAAAGTCTTGCTTAGTAGAAAAACTTGTCCGAGATATCTATTTTCAAAATAAGCATTTAAATTTTCAGGTTTGTATTCGTTTTTAACATCCCAATTGGTTCTCTCCAAAGATTTCTTGAAGATTATCATTAATGGTAGTTGCTTCTGGAACGCTTTGCAAGCAATCTATTGTTAGATATTCCGGATAAAGAAATAATATTGGCCAGTGTAATATATTATTTTAACATTTATAGGATTTTTTAGTATAGGTTCATAATTAGGTTGTGGAACATATTTTAAATCACCGCAAAGCAATTTCATCAAAAAATTTAATTTACGTTCATTTAAAATTTCTACCGTAGTCTCAATGCAAGTTTTCCTTAATTTTGCATGGCCTGCTTTCTTTTATCTCTTTCCGCTTTTGTTTTATGTTCAACAGCTTTAATCCTCATTTTCAAAATATCATGATCGTTATCACCAACTAAATAATCGTCACAAAATTTTTATACACTGCTCGTAATCTTTTAAGGAGAATGCACACTCGATGGCACGTTTTTT